CATCAGGTCAAGTACAAATATATTCCATATCATCGAGGCTTCTGGATTCCTGAAATCCTTGCAACGAATTGCAAAAATGTTTAGTGGCTCTAGAATCTATCCATCAGGAATTAATAGATACAACCACATAACATGGCTCAATGATTAAATATATATTTTCCTATGCCACGTCATTGCTTAGACAGTTCGTCCTTTAGTGTCTTCGTTAGCAGCAAAAGAAACAATTTAATTTGCCCTCAACATACACTGCCTTATTCCCTTTAACCTTTTGGATACTCATGTTTTATGCTAGCCTAGTCCTATTATCATCCTTCTTCTTTGCTTTGCCCGTTCACTTGGGCCTAGAAGAAGATGGTATAGACTAGGTTAGATTGATAGGAACGCCCATACTCTTGATTATCCCTTCATCTGTTACCAATTCTATAAGAATATCAGCGAGTGTGAACTCAAACTGATTCCTTATTTAGTTCACTCTAACAGAGTCGAACGAGTTTGGTAACAAGGCAATAATCATGTCAACTTGAAACTTACCACCCAAGTCAGCCCTATTAATCTCCAGCTAATTTTTAAATAATAAACAATCATTTTCCAAAATTCCATTTCATACTGGAGTTCCTTAGGCTATCTTGATGCTATTCAAGTCTGACATAGTACTTTGGCATACTCTTTATCTAATCTCACCAAAACATCTTATTGACATTTAACATGATGCTTCAAGAAAATAAAATAATGTAAATGTTAGCTTTGGAGTGTATTCGAGGTAAACTCTAGAATATTACACCAAGTCATCTCATTTGCCCTATTTCACTTATTCAAAGCATTAATGTTCTCTTGGGTATCTTAAAGTAAAATGATTAGGTTTAGGAGTAATAAATACATTTGTACCCTTACGTTGTGAATAAATTATCTAAGTTCCTTTCCCAGTCAATATTAATGAGGTCCAGTTACATTGAATATGTAAGTAAGCAGATAAACTGGATTAGACATAATTAATCTTAATATAAATGCATTCATACAATATGCAAGGTGAATTATTAATATTGTCATGCATATTTAAAATTAAAATGAGTTTGTTAACCACATAATATAATAAATCTCAATTGAACAAGAGATCATTATCATTATTGGTGAACAATCCCTTTTAATTAATACGGGTCCCTCAACTCTGCAGCATAATAAATCAACCAATCAATATGTCAATAACTTATCCTGTTGGAGGAGTTCATTATTACTATTATTGAGATTCATTTACTATTAGGCGAGCACTTCCATTAAAATAGTATGTGGGTCCCTTAACCACTGCATGCAAAATCGGATAACCAATACGCCAATAACTTATTCGGTTGGCGAAGTTCATTATTGCTATTGGCGGGCAAATCCCATCATCTCCATATCTCTTAAGACAATGCCTTGTCTATCTATATGAAATGATTCCTGATTATGTTTAACCTTTCTAAAATCACCTAGTGTAAACCACTCCGTTGGGGAGGTAACACTATTGATTTTAGATTGACTGTATAACGTTATTAAAGTTCTAATGAAAAATAAAATATTAAATATCTTGTCATTATAATTTAGACTCTTTAAATCATGCGTAGGGCCTTATTTTTAAAGATCTAATTACAATGAACATTTAATATTATTATTTTCATGAGATAACCATTCTTGTAATATTAAGACTCTTCAAATCATACGTGGGGCCTTATTTTTGAAGATCTAATTATAATGGTGTTAATAACAAAGGCCATGGGGCAATGTATAAAAATCCCCGCTCCCACACAATTTTTAATCATTCATAATTAGAGTTTTCATTTTATTCATTTACATGATATAATGCATGCAAAACGTCTTGATTTTAATCCAATTAAATTTAGAAAATATTTGGACTTTAAATGATTCACTAATATTTAATTTGAAGCACATTTTAAAAATAATTTACAAAAATAATTTTTCGTTTTCCAATAAGTGCCCTCAAATTAATTAGTAATCAAATCCAATTAATTTTCATAATTTAATTAATATAAATCAAGTCATTTAATTAAATATCATGGATCCAATGCATGAATAATCATAATCAGTATTAAATTATTCCATGCGTCACATAAATAATCAAACTATAGACAGAAGCAATTTAAATGGCCAATGGATTTAGCTTTTAACATTTAACTACTCTAATAATTGCACGAGGGCCAATAAATGACCTATGAACACCCGCAGAAGGCTGGTACTCGTTTGGAGAAGCAAAACACCGCTTGGAATGTGCCCGGAGGGCCCCACACGCGCTCACACGCGTCGGGGGCAAGCAGCAGGACACTGCACGGGCCTCCATGCGCCCCCACGCGCAGTCACGCGCCTGCACGCACTAGGTGTGCGCGTCAGCGCGTGAGACGCGCTTGCACGCACTTTGTAGATGCTGTAGCGCGTGATTCCACGCGCCTGTCTTGTAGTTTCGCCGCATCACTCGGCGCGTGCATCTCATGCGCATTCCCATTGGGCGCTCATATAACGCACCATGGAATGCGCTGCATGGGATCTTTTTCGCTTCTGATCTTTGATCTGAAGGCTGTAGGTGCGCGTGCATATGCACTACGCCACACCGGATCATCCGTCCACCTTCCGGCAATGTCCCTCGCTGCCGGCATTACTCCGATCGCCGGTAAATCGCCGAAAAATTTCAGAAAAATCAGAAAAATTCCCAGAAAATTAAAGTAAGCCTCAAAAAATTCCAGAAAAATTTCAAAAAAATTCGAAAAAATTCCAGAAAATTACTGAAGCATAATTTAACCCTTTCGGACCCTCTTGAAGCTTCATAGCATCCTTTGATGAATATTACATGACTTTAAAAATATTTAAAATTTGAAATACAATGAAAAAAATTAAATTACATCATTGAACTTTCAAACGGCTAAATCAAAGCCTTAATTACAGTCATCCGAAGATAAAATTACATTAAATAAACCTATAAACTTAATCCATGGCCCAAACACACATCATCATCCATTCACAATTATACATACATCATCATGTATCAATATATTAAATCATACATCAATATATATATATAATTTGGATCCATGATGATGAATTTCATAAAAACATGATCTCTAGTAATGAATCAAACCATGTTCTGATACCACTGTTGGGAAACGTGTAATATTTTAAAAACTTTTCAAGGGATTTAAATTCATAGATCTTGATTCATCACATAGAGACAAGTTTTATGTAAAAATAAAACATGATGTATCATTCAATTAAAAGATTGAATACTTACATCAAGGTTTGAGTAAACCTTAGATCTCTCTTCTAAAGTGAATGTTTTCACTTATTGTAGATCCCTTTTGCTAGACACCTTTTCCATGGATCTCCATCTTCTTGGTAATGGTCTTACCTTTAGGAATCACTCATAAGCCTCCATGAATGACCTTGGAAAACTAGGCTTGTGGGAGCCTCCATTAGATGAGAACACTAACCCTAATTTTCTAGGGAGAGAAAATTTATTCCTTTTTCCTTCTTTCCAAAAATCACCCCCAAAATATACATAAACCATGTATATTTATAGGCAACATAAAAATAAAGAAAAGGAAACAACAAATCCTTCTCAATCTCTAATTCATATGTCTCAAATCTAATATGATTCCAATATCAAATTGGGTTATGAGTGAGAATCCATTGGGCCTATTATTTTATTGGCTACAATGAATTAATAATTGGCCCGGTCCATGGACCCAATTCAATTAATTCATAAATTAATTTCTACTCCACTAAAAGAAATTAATTGAACTCCAATTAAATAATAAATAACCTCTAAGTCAATATTGCACTTTAACCACTCTATTCTTAATTAGTTATCGGATAAATAAAGCCATCAATCCGACTACTTAATTAATATATTTATTTCGGTACCATTGATTATTTCTGGCTCGATCACAATAAAACATTTGTTTGACAAAAAGTAATAATTTAAATAAATAAATATATAATAAATCATTTTGTCTAAAAACATACGAAGGCCTTCAAATTTACTTTGTGATCAACCATAATCAATACAAAATAAATACAAGTAACAATGATACAAATATTGAAAATATAACTCTCTAACTATTAATTACATAACTACCCAAAGTGTCGGTCTAAGGATCCCGAAAAATCCGCCGAACAAATCAAAGTAATTATTAATTAATAAAAGAGTTTATAATTTTCTCATACTTAAGAGTCAAATGCCATGACGGTGATAGGGAGCAATTGCATATGACGGCTCTCGCAATATATCTCAACTTAACGCGGATTCAGTTCAAATCTTAATTAATTATGAGTCCATCCATAATTACCGACTATGAACCATTTATGATTACTATTTATATATCATGCATTAATTGCCATCATATACATATATATAAATATTTCTTGTAATCAAATGGACACTATCAATTTTATAATGAATCGAAATATAATACATTGAATTCACCAATTGTATAAAATATAAATATTTCAGAAACGTCAGGAACATATGTCACTTTAATCCAAACAGAAATTTGCTATGTCAGGGCATATAAATCCCAACAAGGTGGCCATGGAAGTGGCAGCACTGTACGCTCGTGCGGCTTCAAACTTATTCAGAATCTCAGTAGGATGGAATGCATCCCAAAAAGCATAAATTGATCTGTTAGTGCATGGAATGCTGTTAGGGATACATAGTCCTGTTGCGGATACACTGCAGCAAGGTGCGTTTAATATTGTAATACCTGAAATTACATACATGTGAACAAATGACATCAATAATATTACACATTGAAATTTGAAATATATGTGTGTGGGAGAGGGAATAATATGTAAATATGTTCATATCACACCTAACAAATTTTTTAATTAATGATTGGTTTTTTAAATTATTATATATTTAATTATAATATTGTAATGGATGTATATTAACAACAACATCAAAAAGTGGAAACAAATTATATAGGTATAATTTCTGTTAAAAGTTGCAGTTGATAACTTACCGGTAGTCGAAGGTTCCCCTGAGTCAATGTGAGTGGTGTTGATGTAGATAAATTTGGCATCAGTTATATCATAGTCGAGCCTATCAACAAGCGTCTTGAGTCTTGTGTTGAAAAGAGTGACGTAGGTGTTAATAAAATCAGCACACGCAGATCCATTCGTTCCAAATGTGGCTATCTCTGCTGGAGTGCAACCTATTAGACCACCTTCGAACAATGCAACCTTTCTAGCTCCGGCTGTGTACAAAGTCTACCATGCATCCAAATTATAAACAATTAATAATATTATTAGTATTAAGACACTAGCTAGTGCAAGTACTAATTGCAATTAAGTCATATAACTATATGTTGAAAATAAACTTGATTTTAGTATTTAGTATTTTCAAGTATTTTTGTATCCATGATGCATGTGTTAATTTAGCATGTTAGTGGGTAGTAAATTGTCTTAGTGGGAGTTAAGGTTATGTAAAATAAAGAGTCATGAGAGTTAAGCCTAACAAATACTATGTTAGTGGGAGTTATGCATATTGAAGATTATGTTAGTGGGAGATAGGAGAGTTATAGACATTTAAATGTAATGGTTACACATATATATGTGAGGCCTATATATTCATGTACTTTAGTCAAATAATAGATCAAGTGAAATAAAAAGTATTTTCCTCCATTTCTATTCTCTTCCAAATAGTATAGTGTTGTGTGTGTAACTAGGCCACTATTTCCAACAAAGTGGTATCAGAGCCAGATTTCATGTTCAAAGCCAGATTTCATGTTCAGAGCCTAGACGATCCTGAAGGCCAGACGAAGTTGATCCTAGAAGGTTCAACATTTGAGAAAAACATGTTTCTCCTTGATGATGATGAAGGGGAGAAAATGTATTTTCTTAGTGAAAAGATGATGTTCTCTAATTACAAGAGAATGAGAATCATCATGACTTCATACCTCAAAGCATGCGATTTGTGGGATGTTGTTGGAGAAGAGCCAAAGAATGACATGTCTAACAAGCTTCATGAAAAGAAAGAAGATAAGGCATTGGTAGTGTTGCAAAATGCAATACATCAAGAAATTTGGGAGTATTTTGGAGAGTCCAAAACTCCAAGTTATATTTGGAAGATGCTCGAGACCATCATTTCTAATCATAGAGGTGAATCACTACCCATGGAGTATTGGGTACAATGCTTTGAGAATGATGAGTTTACGAAAGATGATTATGAAAGTCTTGAAGACAAAGTTGTGGAGAATGAAGAGGTGTATCATGCAAAAGAAGTTGAAGATTTTGGAGATTCAAAAGTTGAAGGAGAATTTGAAATGGTGAATAAGGAAGAGGTAAGAAAAGGTGTTAAAGAAGAGATTGAAAAAGTGAAGGAGGATGAAGTGAAAATAGAAGATTTAGAAGAAGGAAGTGCTAAAGAAGAGGCAAAAGTTCAAGTTGGTGAATTAACATCTTCAGGTATGGTTACAAATTTCACCTTGAAAGAAGTTATATTTGACTTATTTGATGAAATTATTATTTCTTCATCAAATAATGCTTATTTTGTGGAGAATGATGAACTTCTCTTAAAGAAAGTTGTTCCAAAGAAGTATGAGATTGAAGCCCAGGATGATAAGAAATTCTCATATTATTTTTTTAAAAATAGTTTGGAGAATTTTGTAATTGATACAGGTTGGGTGAATATGGAATTATTTTTTGACTCTAAAGAAGAAGTATATGTGAAGTTTAAGATCCATAAAAAATTTAAGAAGAAAAAAGATCGATGGTGTGCTTGTATAAAGAGGATGATATATGATTATGTGAAGACATCAAACAAGCATTTGAAGAAGTTTCACAAGCCCTACACATCAATGGAAATGGCCAAGAAGATTGAAGCTATTGAAGGAGGTGGAATTGAAGATCAACTATCGAACTTTTGATCAAGCCCCCAAGATTAATAAGAAGGTTTTTCAAGTTACAAAATCAAGTTTAAAGGGGGGTGTTGAAAATAAACTTGATTTTAGTATTTAGTATTTTCAAGTATTTTTGTATCCATGATGCATGTATTAATTTAGCATGTTAGTGGGTAGTAAATTGTCTTAGTGTGAGTTAAGGTTATTCAAAATAAAGAGTCATGAGAGTTAAGCCTAACAAATACTATGTTAGTGGGAATTATGCATATTGAAGATTATGTTAGTGGGAGATAGGAGAGTTATAGACATTTAAATGTAATGGTTACACATACATATGTGAGGCCTATATATTCATGTACTCTAGTCAAATAATAGATCAAGTGAAATAAAAAATATTTTCCTCCATTTCTATTCTCTTCCAAATAGTATAGTGTTGTGTGTGTAACTAGGCCACTATTTCCAACACTATATATGTGTGTATGACTCTGTGTATATATATATATATATATAACAATTGTAACAGTACTGACCCTTAGTTGCCGTTCGTACGGTTTGATAAGGGCTGCTGCATACTGATCGGGTGTAAAAAGGGTGCTTGTTGGGTAGATTTGTGGCATCAAGTAGTTGTCGATGTAATCGTTACTACCCATTCCAACACTATATATGCAGTTGCCTACGTATTCTTTAGCTTCATCAACTGTGCTTCTTCGTAAAGTAGCAATGCGTGACAATGTCACTTGATGATTTGCTAACTGCCCATTCATGCTGATCAACCGACCAACCTGTAATAAGGTGCTAAGAGAGATTACACACACACACACACACAATTGAAGTGGAAATATGCAACAATATATAGCAGACTTGTACCAATATATTAATTGATTGGAATTGGCATGGTATTATTTTTAAAGGAGATTCTAGCATGCACATATAGGCTCAATTCGTATGGCTTGGATTCTAAGGTCTGTAGTGATTATGGGATGTTTGGTTTGGTTTAGTTAATTTTTAGAAAACAGTTTTCAATTGGAAAATTATAAAAGACAATTATCTAAAGAAGTTACACAAGTGCATGCACACACAACTAGCTCATTACCACCTTGTTTCCAGTCTCATCACGAATTCCACCTCCGCCGAATGCATAGTTGACGCCTCTGAGGATATTCGTGCCTGTTGCATTTGCAAAGGGTAGAATGGGATCGGTGAACCCTAGAAGTTCAGCTGCAAAGCCAAGTGTTCAATCAGCATGATGATTTATTTGGCAAGCAATATTAGCTACAAGCTAGCAGGAAGCTTTAGCATCTATATGAATTAATTTTACTATTTACATAAAAATAAAATAGATACCACCTAAATTCCAACAAAAAGTAGATGTTGTTGGGATAGAAAAGTAAGATTTATTAGTCCTAAAGAAAAAGTTTTGGACTTATTTGTTTTTGAATGAGAAAAGTAGGACTTGGTGGGAATTTTTCCTACTTTTTATTATAATAATGTGCATGTTTATATGAGGGTCATTAGTAAGCTGATTTTGGCACTGTTATACAACGGTGTTTGTTAATAGGAGTAGAGGGCAACTTAGGTGGATTAAACGGTACTCAAAAAGCTCAACTCGATTTTTCATAGACTCAAATAACTATTTTTACAATAAGGGCGAGACTTAGTTGAAAAACTTCAACCCAAACTAAATTTGAACAACTATTCTTCTTTTTTTTTTTCTTTTCTTTTTTTTCTTTTTCAGTTTATATTTCTAATCTTAATTTATCCCAAGACTTCTTCATTTGGTGATTTTTCAAATATATATAGAAGAAAAAAATGATAAAGGCCCCCATTCAATTGAAAACCAAATGAATCCATGATAACTCTTATCATTATTTGAAATGTTGTTATTAAGATAGAGAACCATGTTGAATATCTTCACACGGAAAGCAAATGTCAAATGGAATAAAGAATTTTACAAAATTTATTTGCAAAATAAATATAAACCTTGTGACATCTTAAGCCCTAAGGGCTAGTTTGGTGTAGTGGAATGAATTGGAATGGAATGAGAATGGATGTGAGAATGGAATGAGGATGGAGTGGAATGAGAATGATGATTCTTATTCTACCGTTTGGTTGCAAACATGGAATGTGTAAAAATGGAATGCTCAATTCTTATTCCACTATTTGGTAAGAAAGTTAGAATATAATGAATTTATATTGTTTCTTTAAATTATATTTTATTATTAGTAAAAAAAAAAACTAAAAAAATTAACATCTATAAAAATAAAGAAAATAGATAAGATAGAGATAGAAAATAGACGAGAAAAAAGAATTGAAAAGGAAGGATGAGGTTGAAAACTTGGCAAATTAGGGCTCCAGTTTGTCTTGCTTCTTTGCCTAATCGTTAGAGGCATCTTACCAAACATGAAACTAGGAAAGAGTGGTTATGGATTGTCTTCCTCTTGTTCAATTGATCTTTAGCCCTAAACTCTCTCCAACATTACCATCAATCTCAACATTGCCAACATCATCGTCGTCTAGAAAGTGCTCCATATCAGGGAATTTCTCAACTAGATTCCCGAGATAAAGACGAATTGGAAGGTGATCGAACAGACGGGAGGCGTTGCCACCGGAGAACAGCCTTAGATCTCACTCGCCTGACGAATTTTCTGATCATCTTCTCCGGTGACGTTCTTTGAAAGTTTTAATAACAAAATCTTCAACAATTGCATCCTTTGAATCAGAGAGGGATATATATATATATATATATATATATATATATATATATATATATATATTTTATGGTATACAGTGAAGTGTGAAGAGAGAAAAAGGAGAGAGAGAGAGGGTGTACAATCGCGTAATGAGAGAGGAGAGATGGAGAGAGAGTCTGCTAGATCTGTAAAAAAGAATGCGTATAGGTTTTTTTTGATCTTTGCATTTTATTATTTTAATTTAGTGGGAATGGAATGACCATTCCACAAGTCCAAAAGAGGAATGGTCATTCCATCTAAAAACTGGAATGAAGTGGCACACCAAACAAGAGAAATGAATGAGAAAGTAGAATGACATTCCACCCCATTCTATCCACCAAACTAGGCCTAAGAGTAACTTAATCTATTGTGTTTGACTTCAAATTAGATAAAAGAATAATAGGAGTAGTTTAGCTTGTCATACTTTGGCCTTAGTAAACCGCGTCACCCGCGTGGAATTGTGGCATTTGAAGTCTTGATGTTGACTTCTTCCTTTGGTGAATTTTATTGAAAAATTTATTATAATATCTTTTATATATATATATATATATATATATATACACACACACATTATACTATTAGAAATTTTATGTAACCCACCCCAGGCTAACCTAGATCAGTCCTATTTTTTATCCGAAGTCAAAATTTTGAACATGAGTTATGGAGCTTTTGTTGAGCCTGAGTTGTATGGTTGTTTTAGTGACTTACCTACCAAAAGGGAAAAATATATATATTTTTTTTAGGTAAAAGGTAAGCTTCAATAAATAAGAAGAAGAATTTACATGAGTCCAAGTAGGACAATACAAGCCAGGCTAGGGACAACAAATGTTGTCACCTAGAGAAGCAAAGAAAAGCAATCTAAACCAGAAACTGAAAGAATTAGTAAAACAACACACAACAACCAATACAGCATCCTATCACCAAGTGATTCTATTTAGTAATCCCAAAAGGCTATAATTCACTTCATAAATTCTAGCAGTAGTGTTGTATGCTGGAGCAGTAATGCTGCAGCTACTGTCTTAGGAACCATGATTGTCCACTGGCATAAGAGCATCCTTGAATGAAAAGCTGCTGGAGTGCTTCAGGGGAGCCAATCTTCCTCAAATCTGCACTAGATTTTAATTTCAGAGATGTAAACCTTGCTCTTATACAGTCCTTGATGCACTGGATGATATGGTGGGGCGGAGATGATTTGTTCTTGAAGGCTCTTGTATATCTTTCCTGCCATATGAAGTAAATGGCACATGAGAGAAGCAACTTGTGTGTAATGAAGTGGTTCTGTCTCCAAGTTGTTAAGCACCATGCAATTAGGTTTCTCCAGTTAGTAGGGTTGATGTAAAAACCTACAGCATGCTGAATGAAATTCCAAATGATACCACTATATTGGCATTTGAAGAAAATGTGGTCCACTGACTCCTCAGCTGAAAGGTATAAGTAGCAAGCATTGGGATATTGCTTATTTAGCATTGGTTTAGTGTCCAGTGTTGCAAGTTTCTCTTTAAGTGTAAGCCATGCAATAAATCCATGCTTTGGGATGTGATGTTTGAACCAAATGAGGTGATCCCAAGCAAAGACCAGAGAAGGGGTAGTGTAATACTCCATGGTGAGTCTGTAGGAGAAGTTATTTGTTACACATGGAAGCCATTCAACTTGATCATGGTTATTGGATGGTAAGGGGATAGCTTGAAGTTGAGAGGTGAATTCTTGGCTCATGAAGAAAGGCAGGTGGTGAAGTGTGTTTGGGATTGACCACTGATAGTTGGAAATTAGGCTATCAACTGTGATTTGAGGATCCAGTTGAAGAATTTCCACATCAGTGATGCCAAACTGTTGTGTAATGGGACCATTTGGCAACCAATAATAATTCCATAAGCTTGTGGTATTCCCATCCATCACTCTGTGTTTAACAAGCCCTCTTGCCATGCTTTTCAGTTTGAGCAATCTTCTCCAGAATCTTGAACTGGTAGATGTAGCCTTGACTGTCCAAATGGATTTGGTTTTGATGAGGTATTTGTAAGTCCATGCCACCCAAAGGCTTTATTTTCTTGAGCACAATCTCCATAGGTGTTTGAGGCTTGACACTCTATTGGTGAGCTCAAGGCAGGGAAATCCAAGACCACCAAAAGCTTTAGGTCTGCAAATGGTTGTCCAAGCAACCTTGGCTCCAGTTTTCTTGAGATCAGTTCCAGACCAAAAGAAGCTTTTCAAGATTTGATTAATCTGATCAATAACTTTCATAAGTAAAATAAAAGCTTGTGTCCAATAAGCTTGAATAGAGAAAAGTATGGATTTAATTAACAAGGCCCTTCCCGCATAAGAGAGAAATCTTGAGGTCCATTGGCTGATTCTAGCTGTAAATCTCTAGACAAGTGTTTGGCAGTCATTGGCATTGATTGCTGATGAAGACAAAGGCAAACCAAGGTATGTGATTGGTAGGCAACCAATCTCAAACTGAAGTAATGAGGCAATGCTGTTCTTTGTGTGATTATCAACTCCTGCAAAGAAGGCTTGGCTTTTGGAGCAATTAATGGACAGTCCAGAGATTGAAAGGAAGTTGTTTAGTGCTGAGTGAAGAACTTCAACAGAGGATGTGTCACCATAAGAGAATAACATGATGTCATCTGCAAATGCCAAGTGAGAGATGGAGAGCTTACTACATCTTTAGTGATACTTGAAATTGGAATTTTGGGAGATGGCCTTGTTGATAGATAGAGAAAGGATTTCCATGGCAAGAACAAAAAGCTGAGGAGAAATAGGGTCACCTTGTCTTACTCCTCTTTTTCCCTTAAAGTATCCACAAAGCTGGCCATTTATTGAAATGGAGTAGGAAGGAGTGGAGATACATTGAGCAATCCAATGTGTGAATTGATGTGGAAAATCAAACAATTGCAACACATCAAGCAAAAATTGCCAATGAATGGTATCAAAGGCTTTCCTAAGATCGATTTTGAGGACATAAGAGAGGGGGTGGGATGATTTATGGTATCCATTCAGTAGTTCATGAGCAAGAAGTATGTTATCAGTGATGTGTCTATGTTTAACAAATGCAGTTTGTGTGGGACTTATGAGTGAGGGTAGGACCAAGCTTAGCTTGTTAGCATTAAGTTTGGAAATGCATTTATAAATTAAATTGCAACATGAAATGGGCCTATAGTCATTGACAGTTGTGGGATTAGGGACTTTGGGTACAAGGGCAATATAGGAGGAGTTAATTTCAGTAAGTATTCTCCCTGAGACAAAAAAATCCTTGATTGCAGTAGTGATTTCTTGGCCAATGATAGGCCAAGCATGGGTAAAAAAACAAGAGTTAAAGCCATCAGGACCAGGGCTTTTAAAAGGATTAAAAGAAAGAATGCATTGCTGAATTTCCCTTGTATGCAGAATGCAATTGTACCAGTACTATTTGATAAATAAATTTTATATAAAAAGGCTATATATCTACCTTATTATTTACCATTTATTAATTATTATTATTATTATTTGTGATTAGAAAATGATTGTAAAAAACAAGTGATAATTAAGATTGGTCATTTCTAACAAGTTAGAAATATATTTAATTCTGCACAAAAAAACCAAGTTGACTTTAGGTTTCTCAGTATTGATTAAGAGATTTTGTTGTATTCAATTCGAAGAGGCTTCAAAATCATCCTCCTACCCAATATGTTTTGGAATAATAGTTAATATCAAAACGAGATGATAACGAAGATAAAAGAAAGAATAGTGTTATGATGAGGGCACTCTCAGCACTCAAATGTTCAATGGACGAGTGGGCAATCCTCATATAGGAGGCCCTCAAAAAAAGGGGGAGGGGGAGGGGGAGGGAAAAAAAGAAGCAATAAATTTAAATAAATAAATAAAATAACCATAGGCAAATGAATAAATAAAAAATGGAATTTAATGGCATCTATTTTATGAAAGAAAAACAGACCAATGATGTCTAGTTCGGCCATTGGTGAATCTGCCTGTGGGACCATCAGGGAAATCAATCCCACAGGGCGGGAAATTAACATTAGCCAGAGTAAGGAGGGCTTTGATGTTGCCATTATCGGCCAATGAATCTCCAAAAATGAAGTAACATGGGACTTGTGGTGCACCACTAGCCAATGGGCTCAAGTTGGCAACCATTAAGGTTATGATTAACATAAACCACCATAACACATTAAGCCCACAAGCCATTGATGGAAAGAAAAGAAAGAAAGCCAATCAAAGGGAAAGAAAGTAGATCCAAATAGAAGAGGAAGTTGGTGTGAGAAGATGGAAAACACAGAGGAGTATATATAGAGGAAAAGAAAAGTTCAAAGGCCTAGAAGGAAGTGGATTTGAAGTGTTTGGCACCCTTATTTTTATTCATTTTTTGGTTGTCTTGTCCTATTCCCTTGGAGGTTATGAGATATATTATTTTTTTCTTTTCCCACGCTATGAGAGGTCTTGAAGCTTGGCATTAAATTAAATAATATCCAGTGGGAGTATAATCAATTTGCATCCTAGAATGATTGATTGGGGACTTTCTCTTTTGTTTTGATGGTTGCTTGGTCCACTCTCTTGGCAACTCAACAAACCATGAATTGCGTCACCTTGAAAAAAAAGCTTGTACGGCATAATCATTGATAAAAAATTTCGAAAGTGATTCTAAGAGAATTCGAACTTTTAACATTCAGAATGAAAAATAATAATTTGTATGTTAGGTTATTTTTTTAGTGTTTTTTTTTTTAAAAGTTGTTTTGAAGAGTTTTTATTTAAATGACTAATATATTCCACCTGTAATAAGTCTGTTAGCTAGGTTCCTGTAAATTAACAATGTAGCAGTTTGAAGGATTGCATTAAGAAAAATGCTATTTAATTCCACAAAACTCACCAAACCTACATGAAATTGGGACTATGCGGTCGGTTAGTATATCAAGGTCTTTTTGTATAATTAAATAAATAAAAAGTTAAAGACAGACTTTTGAGTCCTGTAAGATGAGGTCGCACAGAGTTTAAATATTAATTGTCTAAACATTCTTTTGTGCTCAAAAATTGATAAATTTCAAAAGCTAAGTATAAAAAAGTACAATAATTGAATTGAAGAGTAAAAGGAACTATAACCAATAATGAAATGTTTCCCTTAGGACATTCTAGTTAGGAAAATATTATATTCACGGAGGATTTGAATTCCTCGTTCAAGAATCATCTATGAGTTTAAACAATACATACAAAGATTAGAGAACCAGCGATCGGAAGGCAAAGAAAGCTGGAGTGGAGCAGACGGAAGAGGCTGACAGATATATATACGCACAGAGAGGGAGAGGGAGTAACGATCTAGTGTGTGCACAAATAACACATATACAACTTTAATATAAGGAAAATAATTGGGTCCTGGCACATCTTTCAATTGATGTGGCCCAATACAATTTAGATAAATATTTAAAATTTTAAAAATAATCATTACTATTTTTTTGTTGTTAAATCGAATCTTTTTTTTTTTCTTTCAAAAGAATCACAATTATTTCTATACTTAACCTTCGTTTGAAATTGAAAATTTATTAAATTTATTTTTGATATTAATCTATATTTCAATAAAAGTTTTTTTTGTAAATTTATTTCTAGTCAGAGTTAGTTTTTCTAGTATATCTATTGTTAGTCACAGTTAGATCTACTTTTGGATCTCTCTTAAATTCCCAATCCTTTAATTGATGTCTAAATTATATTGGGCCACGTTAGCTGCAAAGATAAAATTTATCATCAATGGGGATACCCAAGTATTGTCCTTAATATAATATGAGCAATGCTAGACTTCACGAAAAAATATTCAAGTTTGTATCACAAATGGTAAATAAATGTCATATTTTTGCACTCACGTCACTTTCTCCTCTTTTTTATCTTCCTCTACCATAGTCATTACATACGTCAAATGTTGAATTTCATCAAAACAATTACTAATTACGTGTTGATATGAAATTATGTATAATTTCATTTATAGATGCCTTCAATTTTTTTTTACAAATCATCCATAATACTAAGTCCCAATTATACAAAAGAGATACAAACATAATAATTTCATACCAACACGTAAGAATTATTTACATATATTTTGATTCTCTCCATAGTTTATTATACATAGCTTCAATATATATATATATATATATATATATATATATATATATATCTGGAAAAAAATCCTCTCCAATTACTTTTAATGGTGGTGACTTAGGCTACCTTTCCAACATAGCCTTGTCATCGCCAGACTAGCAAGTTAAGAAATTTATTTATCTATACTTTGTTTTACCATATACACGAATACCACCTTATACGTTATACTTTATATGTATAATAGATTATTATTATACAATTTAACTTTACCTTTTTATTTAAATTAAAATACATTTTCTACTTCTGTATTGTGAAAAAAATCGTTCACCTCTCATTCTTGGAAAAAAACCGTCTTCACTGTTCTGTTCTTCCCGATTTTGTTTCTTTAAAGAGAGAACTCGTTAGTCACAAATCATTACCTTATGCAATGCATTCTGGATTTGATTTAACAATACAACACTAAACATCTAATAGTGGTAATTAACGCCAACTCCCTAGTATAGCTTTGTCATCACCAAATCAATGTCAAGTTAGCAAGTTTAGAAAAAAAAATTTACTTTTGTTTTACCCATATACAATATACCACTCTATACGTTATGTTTTATACAATATATTATACAAAGTATATTATTATATAATTTAACTTTACATTTTTTTTGAAATTAAAATAAAATTAAAATGCAAAATAAACTCACTTTAAAACAATAAAATTAAAATTAAAATATGTATACAGAATATGTTACTCAAACAAAATTACAAGGAATAACAAATCATATAATAGGTTATTAGGGTTAGTATAACCCCACTTCAAAAATAGATCCAAATCACTCAATTCTCAAAACTTTTTTCAAATTGAAAATTTCAAATTGTAGTTGTGTAGGATTCGATCAAATTGAACAACTTTAATTTTTGCACCACAAACTAAATCTTATTTCCCTAACCTTTAATTTTTTTTTTTTTTCTCCCTATTTTGGTATTCTTCCCTTTTTTTTATTTATTTATTTTCCTTTTCCAGCTCTATCTCCTTATGTACGCACAGATATGTGCCAACAAATCAATTGGGACCCCTGAAATAAAAATCAATTAATTAAATAAAAAATTTATTGTATAAGGAAGTTGTATGTATATATTAAAAGTTAATTTGGAAAATAAAAATTTAATTCAACCGCCAAATCAGCTTTTTTATTTCTAAAACAATCCAGTGAAAGAGTAACTGGAGAGGATTTTTTTCTCCACCCGATAACCTCGACCTACACTCTTGACAAACATCCCAAAATAAACAAAAATCTTAAAACTAAAATCTATTTTAAAGAAAATATTTTATGTCAAACGAACTAGCCACCACACATATTGCGGAGTATTCACATATTTATTTACTAATTTTATGTGGTAAGTGCTCCATAAGAAACATTTACAAAGGGATGTGTGGGTATCAAAAAACCTAAGAACATTAATTGCTTGGACCTGTAGTCTATTCAGGTTTCGCTCCAGTTGCCTTTTATTGGGCTTGGTTCAAGGCTTGGCCTGCTGTATTTGGGCTTACTTTGTAGATATCTAACGTTTGTTTTCTGTAGTCCTCCTCTAACTCTTTGTTGAATTGGGCCTTCTGCCATATTTTCCATAGTTTTGCGGGGGCCTTTTGAGGTTTATTCTTCATGCATGTATACAAATTTCATTTACCTTATAGTTGATTTTTTTTTATTTTTTTTGAAAAAATAAAAAACATACACACACAAACATAATATGCATTCCATGATAAATCATATCCAATTGGACATATTGAATATCATTATCTGGAATTTTGTTATTAAGACGGGGGATACTGAATATCTTCAGGCGTAAAAGAAAATGTGTAATATTGAGAATAGTTTGGCTAGTTATACTCATTCATTAGCACATTATTTTGTAAAGATTTAATCTTTATTTTCTTCTTGATTTGAACAATCCCCAGGCCCTCCCGAAATGAAATCCTGGCGATATGATACACCCAATGTCGTCACACATAACAAAAAGAAAATCTAATTAAGAACATTAATTTCTTGAATATACTGTCAAAAAAATTAAAATTGCCTGGACATGCGCATAAAAATAAAATGTTTTGCAACCCTTTTTGTTGGGCCTGATTCAAGGGCTTGGGCAACTGTGCTTGGGATTGGTTTCTAGATATCAAAAAATGAAAATAAAAAAGCTTAGAAACACACAAACAAACACACACACACACACACACAATATACACTGCATCCGCACGAGACCCAATTAGAACTTTCTAGTGGTAGTGAAAAAAAAAAAAAAAAAAAATTCTAGTGGTACTGTGGTAGTGTGTGGTATGACCGTACGTGGATTGGCTTCCTTTTGTTTATGGGTTGTATGGAAAGCTCGAAATAAGGTTTTTGACGATGCTGATTGGAGTCCAGAAGAGGATTTAAATATGGTAGTGGAACTTTATTGGGAGTTCACGAATTCACAGCAAAAGTGTATGTATATTCTCCAAACCTCCCAAAAGAATCTGTCTAATGATATTTGGTCTTGTCCTCCGGATGGAGTTGTCAAATGCAATGTCGATGCTACTTTTGTTAAATCATCCTTGTTAGGAGGTGGGAATGTTGTGTTCCAGGATTTGTCGGGGGCTGTTCTTCAAGCAGTAGTATTAAAACCTTTTCTGACCTCTTGGGCGCTGTCAGCGGAGGCGTCTTGCTTTAGAAGTGCTGTTGGTTGGGCTCGGACCTTCAATTTTCAAAAAGTGTGTTTCGAATAGGATGCTAAACTAGTTATAGACTCCTTGACTGGTGCCGGTGTTTATTCTGTAGACATTTCTTCTCTAATTTTTGATATTCTTGCAGAGCTCAAATCGTTCTCATGGTTTTCAATCTCTAAGGATCGGCCCCAAGGTAACAAGGGGTGGTGCAGATTCGGATTTGATTCTCTCTCCTCTTCCTGCTTTGATACTTCAATTGGCTGAGGAGGAGGGTCAGGCTGCTGTGCTGGTGGGGTGTTAATTTGTTAGTTTGGTTGCTGGTTCTTTTGTTGTTGTTATTGCCCAAAAAAACAAAGGATTATGGTAACATGGAGTTGAATTCCTATTTATTTATTTATTTTTCTACAGTCATACAGGTGAAAATATATTTTAGTAATAAAAAATGAAAATAAAAACACTAGGAAACACACACATACTAACATAATATACATTGCATCCGTACAAGTCCCTATTAGAATTCACAAGGCAAAAGCATGCGCATAGCTAAGGGATAGGCCATTAAGCTTATGTCACTGAAGTGTGTTCTAAGATCCATCAAGATATATATAAGACAAATTCTTTTACAATTTGGTGGATGTAATAAATATGTGTATATATATCTATAGAATAATATCTATAATAATATTTATTATAGAAATAAAAAGTAATTTTCGCATAGATAGAGAGAGAACAAGAGAGAGTGAGAGAGAGAACTGCTTTGTATTTTCACCACTATTATTGTATACTAAGAAAGCCTATATATAGACATTATGTGTGTGGGCAGCAAGCAGCTTCTTGCATAGGCTACATTGCCGCCCAAAGCGTATTGCATAAGCTGCTGCCGCACAATGATAACATATATATCTTCATTATAATTACTTATTGTCAGTGGACCCCACACCAAAACATATACATAACACTTCCCATTGGGGTTAACTGTACTATACTAAGAATATGCCTCGTCAAAACCTTATTATAGAAAACTCAGTGGGACAAAACCTTAGTGAAGGAAAAAGAGTACAGTATTCTTGTGTATGATATTGCATAAATTAAAATTGCCTCATTAAAACCTTGTTAGGAAAATTTAGTGGGACAAAATCTGGACGAAGGAAAAAGAGTATAGTAGGCCAATACCTTTTCGATCACTTACTCCCCTTCATTAGGTCAACCCTGAAGATCCTTTAGTTGACGCATTCCAATGTTGTCCACTAATTTCTTGAATGTTGTAGTTGGAAGCGCTTTAGTGAATAAATCTGCTAGATTATCACTCGAGCGTATCTGCTGAACATCAATATCAACACTCTTCTGAAGCTCGTGTGTGGAAAAGAATTTTGGTGAAATGTGCTTGGTTCTGTCACTTTTTATGTATCCTCTTCTTACCTGTGTATTACATATTGTATTATCTTCATATAATATTGTTGGACTATCTTTGATTGAGGAAAGTCCACATGATTCTCGAATATGTTGTATAACAGATCTCAACCAAATACACTCTCTACCTGCTTCATGAATTGCGAGTATCTCAGAGTGATTTAAGGAAGTTGTAGTCATGGTCTGTTTTATAGATCGCCATGATATAGCAGTATTACCAGAAGTAAACAAGTACCCTGTTTGTGATCGGACTGTATGTGGGTCAGAAAGATAACTTGCATTTGCATATCCGATCAACTGGAGCTTTGATTTTCTTGAATAAAATAACCCCATATCAGTCGTTCCCCAAATGTAACGCATAATATGTTTAACCACATTCCAATGTCTTCGAGTTGGTGCAAAACTATACTGTGCTAGTAAGTTGACTGCAAATGCTATATCAGGTTTGGTACAATTCGCAAGGTACATTAGAGCACCGATTGCACTAAGATATGGTAACTAAGAATTTCTTCGCCTTCTTCTTGAGGACGAAAATGATCTTTCTTAACATCAAGTGATCGGACAATCATTGAAGAACTCAGGGGGTGAGCTTTATCCATATAAAAGCACTTCAAGACTTTTTCAGTGTATGTTGACTGATAGATAAAAATTTCATTTGGTAAATGTTCGATCTGCAGGCCGAGACAAAATTTTGTTCTACCAAGAATTTTCATTTCGAATTCTTTCTTTAAATAATTAGCAGTTGTGGTGAGCTTTTCAGGAGTTCCCACGAGATTTAGATCGTCAACATATACAGCGATAATGGCAAATCCAGATTTTGATTTCTTGATGAAAATGCATGGACAAACTTGATTATTCACATATCCTTCTTTTAGTAAATATTCGCTGAGACGATTATACCACATGCGTTCGGATTATTTCAATCCGTATAAGGATCGTTGTAGCTTGATCGAATACATGGTACGTGGTTTCAAGCTATTTGCTTCAGGTATTTTAAATCCTTCAGGGATTTTCATATATATGTCACTATCTAGTGATCCATATAAATAAGTTGTAACCACATCCATCAGATGCATATCCAGTGCTTCTGAGACTATCAAACTGATCAAAAAGCGAAATGCAATTGCATCCATCACAGGAGAGTATGTTTCCTCATAATCAATACCAGGTCTCTACGAGAAACCTTAGGCTACAAGTCGGACTTTACATCTTACAATTTCATTTTTCTCATTATATTTCCTTACAAATACCCATTTGTACCCTACAGGCATGATATCTTCAGGTGTCTGGACTACAGGTCCAAATACTTCACGTTTTGCTAATGAGTTTAGCTCTGCCTGTATTACTTCTTTCCATTTTGGGCAATCATTTCTACATCGACACTCTTTGACGTTTTGAGGTTCAGGATCCTCATTATCACCTGCAATATCAAGAGCAACTGCAAAAGAGAATATATCGCTAATAATAACTATATTTCTATCCCACAATTCTCTATAGTTTATTGAGATCTCATTATTTTCAGGTACCAGTGCCTCTTCGGGGGCTTGTGCCACTTCTAGCGCATGTGCCACTTCTGGGGCTACTTGCTTATAAAATTTAGATTGATCAATTATTTTCATTGTTCCTTTTGCAAGTGTGACATCTTCAGGAGCGCCAATTGCTTGATTTGTTTTCTTTTGTACTTTCCTCTTTTGGGGAACAATGTCTTTTGCACCGAATGGTCTACCACGCTTCTAGCGGTCTTAGATGCATTTGCAATAACACTGACAAACTGTTCTACAGGGACATCAATTCTTGCTGGAATGATTGCAGCTGGTATATGTGATTTTATCACTTTCTTTATGTCAGTGAATGCATCGGGTAATTGATTTGCAATACTTTGTAAATGAATGATCCTTTGAACTTCTAGTTCGCATTGATTTTTGCGAGGATCGAAATGAGATAAAGTTGAGACATTCCAATTAATAACTCGTTGCTCTTCTGGCTTTTTCTCCCCTCTCCCCCCCCCCTAATGGAGGGAAAACAGCCTCATCGAAATGACAGTCAGCAAACCGCGCCTTAAAAACATCACATGTCATAGGTTCAAGATATCTAATAATAGATGGAGAATCAAAATTTACATAAATACCAAGTCGTCATTGAGGACCCATTTTGTTGTGTTGTGGGGGTGCAATGGGAACATATATAGCGCAATCGAAAACTCGCAAGTGAGAAATACTTGGTTGTTGACCAATCACAAGTTGTAGTGGTGAGAAACTATGATATGTAGTTGGTCTAATGCGAACTAGTGATGATGCATGTAATATCGCATGTCTCCAAGCAGAAACAGGTAGTTTAGTTCTCATGAGTAATGATCTAGCAATTAACTGAAGACGTTTGAGAAAAGATTCTGCAAAACCATTTTAGGTGTGAGTATGTGCAACAGGATGTTCAATAAGAATGCTAATTGACATGCAATAGTCATCAAATGAGTGAGATGTGAATTACCCGGCATTATCAAGACGGATAGTCTAGATTGGATAATCCAGAAATTGTGCTCGTAATCAGATTATTTGAGTAAGGAGTCGAGCAAACGCAACATTACGAGTAGAAAGTAAACTTACATGTGACCACCGTGTTTTGAGTAAGGAGTCGAGCAAATGCAACATTACGAGTAGAAAGTAAACTTACATGTGACCACCGTGTTGATGCATCAATTAAGACCATAAAATACCGAAATAGTCCACACGCTGGATGAATTGGTCCACATATATCCCCTTGAATTCATTGTAAAAATGGTGGGCATTCAACAACGACCTTGGAAGGTGATGGTCTAACTATTAATTTACCCTGTGAACAAGCGGTACAAGGATAATCATTTGTTAAAAGAATCTTCTGGTTCTTTAGTGGATGACCAAGTGAATTTTCAATAATTCGGCGCATCATTGTTGACCCAGGATGACCAAGGCGATCATGCTAAAGTATAAAAATATTTGGGTCAGAACACTTCTGGTGCGTCACTGCATGTGACTCAATTACTCTTATATTTGTATAATGTAATCCAGAAGATAAAGCAGGGAGTTTTTCTAATACATGCTTCTGGCATGTAATACAGCGATATTTAATGCCCCATTCATTTATAGTCTCAATATGATAACCGTTGAGACGTATATATTTAAAACTTAATAAATTTCTTTTGGATTTGGTATAGTATAGAGCATCATCAATATTCAATTTTGTTCCACATGGTAACACAATGATAGCTCTTCTGGAGCCTTCATTTAAGTCTGCTGGACCTGATATTGTATTGACACGAGCTTCAACTAATGCTATATGCGAAAAATATTTTCTATCTCGGAGTATAGTGTGCGTTGTTGCACTGTCTGCTAGACATATATCTTCACCATTTATCTTGGGTACAGTTAATGCCTTAGTCAGATCCATGCTTCTTCATACACACAAAATATATATTTCATTACTTCAAACTTGAAATACAAACTAGATTTACATACAAGATAGCCAAAATAAAAAACATTTTGGTACAACCAAGATAGAGACATATTAATACAACAAAAATTTAAACATACTGATACAGACAAAATAAAACACACTAGGGATAACATACTAGAGAATGACACATTAATTGGTATGGACATTTCCATCACCAATCAAATGATCCATACTGCCACTAGGATCAGCAAAGAAGTCAGAAACATCAAGGTGAGTAATATCAACTGGCAGGTCGTCATCCACAAAATTCATTTCAATTTCCTTTCCTTTTTCCTTATCATTCATTGAGGCATGGTAAAGATCAGCTAGATGTTTGGGTGTACGACAGGTACGCGACCAATGACCTTTCATTCCACATCTATAGCAAGGCTTGTCATCATATATCTCAGGAGCTTTGTTCTACAAAGCTTTTCCTTTTGCTTGTTGGTCGTATTTGAATTCCACTTCTGATAGGACGGTGTGGAGTTCTTTCTGGGAGTCAATGAGGAATTATGACCACCACGACTATTATAATTATTTCTATTGTAACCATATCCACGACCACCACTACGTCTGTCCACGTCCACGTCTATGGCCGTGAAATGAGGACACATTCGCATTTGGGAATGGTACATATCCAGTTGGATGGGACTGGTGGTTTTTCATCAAAAACTCATTATTCTGTTCAGCCACCAACAAATAAGAAATCAGCTCAGAATATTTGGTAAATCCGCGCTCTCTATATTGCTGCTGCTGGAGCACATTTGAGGCATGCAATGTGGAGTATGTTTTTTTTTAACATATCATCATCAGTAATTTTTTCTCTACATAATTTTAATTGTGAGCTGATTTTAAACAAGGTTGAATTGTACTCACTTACACTTTTAAAATCCTACAATCACAGGTGGATCCAGTCATAACGAGCTTTTAACAGGATCACAATTTTCTGATGCTCATATCGTTCTTTCAAAATTTTCCACAGTGTAAGTGGATCCTTAACCGTGAGGTACTTTGTTTTTAATTCTTCATGGAGGTGATGACGAAGAAAGATCATAATTTTCAAGCGGTCCTGCAGGGATGCATTATTTTCTTCCTTAATTGTCTCTCCGAGATTCATGGCATCCAAGTGGATCTCGGCGTCAAGGATCCATGACAAGTAGTTTTTACTCGAGATATCAAGTGCCACAAATTCAAGCTTGGTAAGATTTGACATTATGAACTATAAATGATAAAATAACATAGTTAGAATTATTTCACAAAAAGAATAATGAATTTGAGATTATAAAAATACTGTAGTCACTATAATATGATTTGCATAGTGGTGATACAATATATATAAATAATAGTCAATTTATAATCACAACAGAACAAGTGGCTTGGTAACTCGTTAACTCAACTTGCGCATTAAAGGGCCACGGTTCGAATCTTGTGGTAATTAATTTTTTTTTCTTTTTTTTTCTTTTACGTACTTAAATCTGAGCCAAATTATATGCATAGTAATGTACATAAAGTAACATGTAAAAGATTGTAACAATATATTTAGCAAATATAATATGAATTGTCAATAAATATACTATACAATGTCAAAAAGTTAATCATGTGCTTTTAGTAAACAAAACAATGGCTAAAAGACAAAATATGTTTACACTAAAAGGCACATATAATTTATATTTCTACGTTTTGCAAAACTTCAGGTTTGTAAGGGTATTCAGTGTAAATGACTTCGTGTCAAAGAATTTTAGATTCATTTGGACTTCAGGTCAACAAATTTTGCGAAACTTCGGGTTCGCAAAGAGTACCAAATATTTATGAAACTTCAGGCTCACAAACAACATATTAATATATGCAAAACTTCGAGTTTACAAATTAAATAATTTAGTATTTGCGAGACTTCGAGCTCAGCAATTTTAATTAACTGTAAAGTTTGAACAACAACAGTTTAATATAAATAATTATTTTTCTTACCCTTTGAAGTGAGAAAGAAAAATAGAATTTTCTTC